ACTTTCTCCGCGGGTGGATGGTACAAAGACCCGAGAGGCGGCGCGCTTCCACTATTTATAGCGGCGTTCCTTCTCCTACGTCACCTCTCGTTATAGCTCCCTTTTCTGGCCAACCGGCCATAGCTAAATACGGTGGGGTAGTATTACAACTGCTACATTACCCTACCGAATAAGATGGGGTCAGGGGCGTGTACAGGATTTTGTACGGAGGGGGGCGTCTAACCGTAACCAAAAACTTGCGAGCACGCGAAGAATTTTTTGAAATTAGACCCTTAGATGCGTTTTCTGTCGCAGCAGGGGGGGGGGCGGGGGTCGGACCCCTTGACCCCCCCCCCTGTACACGCCCTGGAGGTTAAGCGTTTTCGCACTTGGCTCGACTCCATGGTCCGATTCTGACCATGAGTGTCAGCACAGTCATCTACAGCGTCAAGCACCTTTTGCCGCGCCTGTTCACAATCCGCAAGGGATTCGGGGATTATGACGTCGTTTTCCGTTCTTGCGTTCCTGCTGCCGCTGTCGCTCCTCCTTGATGTGGAGTCCGCTCGCAGCCTCTTATGACATTCCCTGACACCGATTGCTTTCCGCTCCAGTGTCCCATCACTTTCGTTGGAGTGTGGATCTCTACCGCCTTACAAAATATAAATTATAGATATTATAGATCAGATTTAGATTTATAGATCAAGGCGCGATATGGCTAGTGTGATATATATTTATATCGGACGGGCCGGATAATTATGGTTTGACATTACCTATCAGCGCGGTATTACCACTTTATTGGCTTATGCGCATAAAAGGAGAGAACCCAGCCAGCAATGAGCATCGCCCGGCGGCAGATCCAGTATCTCACCATTTTCACTTAGGGAAGTGACGCGCCTATTTGTACATGGTCTTACACCACCGAGATGCTATGTAACAACCTGTCATTAATGATTATAGTACAGCCTTAGCGGCTATGGATTTGGAACGCGGGCATCTCCGCGCGCGTATATAGCAGGATTAACGCCTGAGCAAATGCTCCCGGTTGTATAACCATCGTATGCTGTAAGATGGGTAACCGGTTCGATCGTGTGCATTAGTAACAGATTGGAGATAAAACGATAGAGCTCGCAGTCGCAGCTGCTTGCTGTAGGTAGTGTTCTTCTCGTATTGAAACTCTTTGTGTTAAGTTTCGCGGTCGGAGCTAATACAGAGAAGATGTTCTTAAAATTGGGATGTAGCTTCCTAAGAGAAGCAAGTAGAAGCAACAGGAAAACACTGACAAATGTAGGTTGTTCGATTCTGCTCGTAAAAACTATGAGTTTACCTAGTCGCATCTTTATTCATGATTATGCGCAAGATAAGGTCTATGTCTCCCTGACCTCTGTTTGACCTGGCTCGTTTAGCTATTCGCCTAGCTCTAGACTCTAGTACTACGGTTCAAGCGATAGAGAACATGGCCGTGCCCAATAAAACAATGTAATTTACATCAATATAAATATAATATTACATCAATATAATAGGTTAGGGTTAGGGTTAGGATTAGGGGTTAGGCCTAAGGGTTAGAGTTAGGGTTAGAATTAGGGTTAGGGTTAGGTTTAGGCACATTGGTTTTATTGGACCCATGTTCTCTATCCTTGGCCGTACTAAACTATAAGCTGATGGGGTCTATGTCCCCCAGGGTACTGCCGGAACGTACCCTGGGTACGGTCCGGTATACCGGAACGGGCCGGAAGGCCCCCTGCACTAATACTACTATCTAATATGCGCGGACCGTACCTCGCGCTCGAGCCTATCCACTAACGCTGAGAGGGTCTGTGTCCCCCGGGGTACTGCCGGATGTACCCTGGGTACGCTCCGCGTATACCGCGAACGTACCCTGGTACTATCTAATAGTAATATGCCAGACCGTACCTCGCCTACTCCACTAACGAGTCTGGGAGTCGACTACGGCCTACTCCTAACCCTAACCCTAATCCTAACCCTATAACCATATTCAAATAGTGACCAGGGTACGTTCCGGTATACCGCGACCGTACCCAGCGGTACGTTCCGGCAGTAACGCGCTCGGGGACATAGCACCTATGAGCTCCACTAACAAGTCTAGGGAGTCGCTACGCTACTCCCTAACCCTAACCCCACCCTAACCCTAACCTAACCATATCCCTAACCATATCAGCTAGATAGTTACCAGGGTACGTTCCGGTATACCCGGACCGTACCAGGGTACTTTTCGGCAGACCCTGGGGGACATAGACCCTATGAGCGTAACTGTATAGCCGCGTACAGTTGCCGCAGGCTGCGGCAAACTGCTACGGCGGCGCTATAGTTACTAGAGCTATGTCTCTCCCTGACCTCTGTTTACCTGGCTCGTTTAGTATTTCGACTATATATATATAATATATATATATATATATATATATATATATATATATAATATATAATATAGGGTTAGGGTTAGTCAGGCTCATAGGGTCTATGTTCCCCAGGGTACTGCCGGAACGTACCCTTGCCCTGGTACGGTCCGGAAATATACCGCGGAACCACAGGCACTTGGACTGCCCCAAGGATAGAGAACATGGGTCCCAATAAAACCAATGTGCCTAACCCTATCCTAACCCTAACCCTAACCATAAACCCTAACCTTTATTGATATAATATTATATTTATATTGATCAGTGCTCGAAATAAGAAAAAAAATGTCCGATCCTGCGGACAACCCAGGCATCAAATCGGGTTGTCCGCAACAATTTCTTGTTTCCAAAAAATATCCCCAAATCTCCTATTTTCAATCACATAATAATATCGTCAGAAAAACACCAAAAACAGTGGTGTAGCCAGGATTTTTACAAGGTGGCCAAAAACAGCAAACTGCGCAAAAATAGTGGATGACTTAAATATTTAATGGCCCATCGCCTCCCTCTCCACACCCTACGGCTCCTCTACCTTCTCTGCCAATCTTTGTTTTGGGTGCCATGTGAAAAGGCGACATTTTTGTTCATTGTTCTCTGCCTCCCAAGATATGTAATTGTTCAGTGGCGGCGTCTAGGATTCCAAGGAGGGGGTGAAAAACAAGCCGGGGGCGTATGGGGGTCCTCCCCAGAAAATTTGAAAATGTAGATCGCAGGAGATTGGTATTTGCAGCACTTTTGCAGTACATGTACAGCCTTCATTCTGACTACGACAATTCTCTTTTTTTTAACTTTCGGATCAACATGAATCCCCACTGCATGTTGTTTGTTTTGCATGGGGAAAGCCATCGGAAAATTCAAAATAATAATGGAATAAAAATACCAAATGTAGGGGTGAACTTGCTGGTTTGCTGCGTTCCAATCGAGTTCACCTCTCATAAATCAGAAAACCTGACATATACAGTGTTGGAAATAGCAGCTGGTATGCGTCGCTTTCCCACACCATAGATTAATGCGCGGCCGCCAGGCTATAAGTGCTCTTGGGGACCCCTGAGAAATCATAAATAAAGTGCGTTTTTTCGTCAACTTTTTTCTTGGTTGTCCACCGGACAATGTCTCAGACTGGTTAGCGTTGTCCGGCACAAATTCTGGTTGTCTCGGACAACCGGACAACGCTTATTCGAGCACTGTGATGGAAATGACATTTGTTTTATTGGGACCCATGTTCTCTATCCTTGAAGAACCCTTGGGGGCCGAGTCAGTAAAAACTGAAAATAATATGAACGCACATTCACAAATCGGCCCTACTACTACTAGGCTACTACCATACCTCTCAATTACAGTTCCACTGTTGCGTCACTGTATATCAAATTTCCTTCATAAAAACTAACGCAGAACGCTCCCGCACTCGCCGCTGCGAGTGTGCTGTGTCGCCATGATAATATATATATAAAGTCTTATATTTACGGTGACGTAATCACTTTAAACTAATATAACCTGTTACAAAATTTCGTAGCAACGAGCGGCGATATTTCAAGGGCCATTTCTGTTGACTGTGACGTATGCATTCCCAATGCGCATAGCATTCGGCACCTTCGGCTCCTGTGTTGCCTGACATGCTGGCTCTGGTGACGTCATGACTGACAGCAGGCATCCCATGATGCATTCGATCTTGGAGCCGAAGCTAGCCGAATGCTATGCGCATTGGGGATGCGTACGTCACAGGTCAAAAGAAATGGCGCTTGAAATATCGCCGCTCGTCGCTTCGAAATTTTGTAACAGGTTATATTAGTTTGATACAGAGTATTCTGATACATAGTAAGTCCCAGGATAGCGGAGAAAAGTTCGTGTTTAGAATAAACCCATTTTGGAAGTTCTAGTCTCGAAAAACGCACCATAAAACCGCCCTGAGTGAATCACCTCCAAAGAAAAGAATAGGCTCGCGTTGTAACCCTACTCTTGTTGGGTTACATTATTGTATCTATGCAACACCCAGAGCCCGGCGCCCAAGGATATAACAGCTGTCCACATTTGCACCTGTCGCACATTTGCGAAAATGAGTTGTGTACATCGCTTGTATGTCCATAAACCGAGCCCGGCACCGGTATCTGAATGGAGCTATAAACCTACAAGAAAGCATTGTGGCATTCGCCAGCAATAATTGTTCTTCCCATTCCAGGCGTTTGTTCCGTTGATGCTCGTTCGTAACCTATCGACGCAGACGAACAACGTGACCAATCGGGTGATCACGCGCAACCTCGAGCTGCGACAGCGCGTCGACGACTGCGACGACGGCGGGCAGCGCCCCCTGGCGTGCCTCTTCTCGTGGCTGATGGCAAAGCGGCAACACCTGCACAGGTACGGCGACTTCTACCTGCAGCAAGGTTTCGACGTCCTCAACGTTCAGATCCACGTCGACCAGGCCGTGCTGCCGGCGCGCGCCCAGAGCTGCGTGCAGCAGGCGTTGGACTACCTCTCACACCGCGCCGTCACGGTCGGCCCGACCCCGCTGCTCGTACACGCCTTCTCCATCGGCGCATACCTCTACGGAGAGATGCTCATCAAGATGGCCGCCGAGTCGGATCGCTACGGCGACATCGTCAGCAGCGTCGGAGGCGAGATCTTCGATTCCGGCGTCGACTTTGAGGGAATTCCGACGGGTTTCGGCAAGGCGGTGACGAACAATCGCCGGCTGCAGAAGCTGCTTCGCGCGAGCCTGGAGCAGTACCTGAAGGTCACGTACGAACACACGACCAAGTGAGCATCCGGCGACGGTTACGTCCCGACGGCCACCGTCGTCGCCGGAAACGATATTTATTAGTCTTCGCGATGTTGGACTTGACGCAAACTTTTTTCTCGTGGACCGGAATTCTGTACGCCGCGTGCGAGTAAACTCGTAACTTTACCGTGTTTTTGTCGATGGTCTATGAGAAAAAGTTGACGTCAAGACTAATGTTGACACTGACTGTTTGTTTCTGACAATAAACCCCAGGGGTCTCCCTAGGCCTTTAATGCATGTCAGGTCCACCATTCATTCAATGACATGTGCAGTTGACTACAATTGGATATATACTATTAATACCTCTATAGAATTGACAATTATCGGACACTTTTCGCATTTCGTTTATGTAGCAGTTATTCAGTGAAACGAAATCTATAGAATGTACACACAGGGCAAGAAATTAGATGAAATGTGAACAGGCCCACCCAAAATTTTAAACAGGCCCTTAGACAAATTGAACAGGCCCTTACAAGTTTGAACAGGCCCTGAATTTTACTGAAACTGAAACGGCCCGATTGCCCGATCGAACAACTAAAAAATGCTAGTTGTTTAATATTCCCAACATCTTTTGAGCCATCTAGGGCGCTATCGCATGACATTCTCACTTTATTTTATTAAAGGTCGCCGAAAAAAGCAGCCCGCGAGACAGCGTGCAGCGACAGTGTACACGTGCCTTGCCTGACCATGGCTTTGCCTACAATTGTTTGTGGCGCGTGGAGCATGTATATTGTGTAGGGGGTGAGCACCGCTGGGATCAGAGGACGACAGCAAAATTCTTTTCTGGAATTGAGGAAAAAGCTGCAATCGGGAATGACCCCAGACCCCCCTAATCAGGAGGGGGACACCCCCTCCCGCACCTAATCCCACGCGACTCAACCAGCCTCCTATGGCAGCTGGGCTAGTAGATAGAAAAGGGGCTAGTAGATCCACAAATCTACTAGCCCCAATCTACTAGCCCCAAGGGCTAGCTAATATAAAAGTTAGTATCTAACCCTGGAATTAGATCATACGTTGTGGAGTTCGTGTAAATTTACGCGACATGTTGTGCATTTTCAGATACTACTTGAGATCGTCAGCGATGTTTCACAACAACTACATGAAATGCCCGTCGCTTGTCATGTACTCTCTCACCGATGCCATCGGCTCGCAGGAAGGAAATGAAAGAGTGAGTGACCTGCTCTACTGATCGATCCCCTCTGTTGGAGCTCGAGTGGCATATAGATATATGCTGTAAATTAATACTCGTTCCACTGATTTATCTCTCTGTGTGTGTCTCTGTCTCTCTCTCTCTCACACTCACTCACTCACTATCACTCACTCACTCTCTCACTCACTCACTCACTCTCTCACTCTCTCACTCACTCACTCACTCTCTCACGTTCTCACTCACTCTCACTCACTCTCACTCACTCACTCACTCTCTCTCACTCACTCGATTAATTGACATGTACCCGTGTGAATCGTGTAGGCGATGCGGCGGTGGCGAGCGCTGGGACGTGAGGTCTACAGCCACGCGTTCGAGAACGCCCCGCACGTCAGCCTCATGTGGCGCTACCCGGCCGAGTACAAGCGACTCCAGCAGGAATTCATCGACAGGATCCCCGCATTCCGAAGCGTCGAGTCGCCCGTGAAGGTTTCCGCGAGGGCGCTGTAGTCGCGCGGCATGCCACCAGGGGGCTACGATGCACGTCCGCGCGTGCGGTCGATCCCGTGCTATGAAACACTTCTATAGAGCGGTCACCTGTATATATACAGGACACAGCTGTGAGATTCTTGTCGATAACAGATGACATTGGCATTTCCCTTGACTAGCAGTATTACAGCAGATAAGGTCTGTCCCCCTGACCTGTGTTTGACCTGGTTCGTTTAGCTATTTCTGACTAATATATATAGGGTTAGGGTTAGGGTTAGTCAGAAATAGCTGAACGAGCCAGGTCAAACAGAGGTCAGGGGGACATAGACCCTACTAGCAGTATTACAGTTAAGCTCCCTCTGTCGAATCGTCGCCCGTCTTTACAAGGACACTTGTGATTTACCTGTATTGACAGTTCTGTTATGTAACCACTTTCATAGAAAGGATACTTTAGTTGGTTATCATAAGTGGCCCTGATATGCAGGGTTGTAGTATTCTTTTCCTTGGCTCATGGTAACAGTAACCAGGGAGAAAAGGAAAACGAGCAAGCTATACAGAGGACTAAAGCTATAGCTGCGTTCACACGTATACACGGCCTAGCTGGTACCGTACTTAGTTGGTGCTAAGTTCGGGCTAAAATGCGTTCACACGAGATACACGAGATTCGAGGCTTAGCTAGCTAGGTATAATATAGACTGGTACCCGGTCGACAGTTCCACACGCTACCCTAACGTCGTGCAGAAAACGGTTAGCAGTCTAGGTTAGAGCGCTACAGTTTCGCAATTCGAATGCGTTCACACGACAAACAATACGCGGCCAGCGTGGTGCCGAATATACGCGGCTTAGTTGGCGCGGAATATGATTCCGCGCTAAGCAAGCCGGAGCAATCGCGGCTAAGCAAGCCGTGGCTAAGCAAGCCGCGTATATTTTAGCGTGTGAACGCTTAAATACGGAACTAAAATCCTCGTGTGAACGCAGCTTATGTCTCCACACACGCGGCACGACACGACACAGCAAAACGCAGCCCGTTGTGCTGGAAAAAAAAGACATTGTGATTTAGCGCATTGTCACGATTGTGTCTGAGCGCAATGTGTTCACTCTGGTTCAGTGATCAGAAATTATGCATGTGCTTGTTGTCTATTGGCTGATGGTGGCGCGAGCAGAACACGTGATAAAAAACAATCGCGTTGATTGGTTCAACTGTCTTTCTCCGTACACGGCAGCCGGCAAAAGTCAAACTTATTTGACTTTCGCTGTTGCCGTGAAACCGGGATGGCGCCGTGCCGTGTCAGTGGAGACTGCGCCTTAAGATATAATTGATTTGAACATTCCCGGTAGAGGTGAACGACGCCGTTTCCGTGGCGTTCCGTGCCGCGCTGCGTGTGGAGACGGGCCTTAAGTACCAGAAACACAAGACCAAGACCAGATACAGTCACTGTTCATGCTTTTAATGCGCATTTATTGCCATTGTATGTGATATTTATTATCTAAATATTTTAAATTCTATCACTCTAACTTCCAAGTCATTGATGGAGGTTTGTTTGTGGTGAAATCTGTCGTCTGTAGTTGTTAAATGTAGTGCCCTTGGTTCGTAATGCTTAAAAATTTCAACTCTCACCAAAGAGAGAGCAAGAGAGAGAGCAAGAGAGAGAGAGCGAGAGAGAGAGAGAGAGAGAGAGAGAGAGAGAGAGCGAGAGCGAGAGAGTAAAATCAAATATTTCGTTTTCGTGTCACTGCTGGTATAAGCACGTATATATGCTAGAAGTCAATAAAATCTAACTAATTGAGGGATGGAGCGATACAGCCGCGTCTTGTAGTCTTGTAGTGTAGTGTACTCTGTAATTATAGCTGTCAGCAGATGTGATGGTTATACAGACACGAGAATAACATGCAATCTTCGCATTCCTAGCTATCAAAGAGCATGACCTTCTTATGGCAACAATAACAACAACAACAACAACAACAACTACAACTACTACTACTACTACTACTTATTGTTGTTATTATTATTATTACTGTAATAGTAATAGTATTATTGTAATTAGGACGGGATCTTTGTTATTTTAGCACTATAAAGTACCAAGAGTTGCAACAACTGCTATATCAATCGCTGTCTGTTATTGCCTGAATTGTGTATATGAATAAACGCACAACATTTTGAAACGCAATATTTTTCAAGTGAAGTTATTTTGGTGTTCTTCTCGGATGTTCAGAGGCGAACGCACGCATTTTCGGTTAAGGGGGGGATCGCGAGTGTAATAAATAATATAAAAATAATACACAAATACCATGATACGCAATGATTCATAACGTTTTCGTGAATAATTGATCAGTCAAAAATTACCGTTCGTTTATTTATTTTTTATACTGAAAAATTTGCAGTATATAAAAAAAATAAAGCAACGGTAAATTTTAATATTTAATATTGAAACTCAAACGTACCTAAGTACCATAATACGATTCACACGCACATATGGACTTACTTCTCAGTTCCACAGATTTATTTAGTAGTTAATGCAGTGGACATTTTGCAGAGCTTTGTCTTTCTCTCGAAATCTGCCACAATCATCAGGGCTCTCATCCAGGGACCCGCATTGTAAGGAACGGTGTCACAGTAGCGCAAGTCTAAAATGTCATTACTTTTCAAGGGGAAGTGTCGCGCAAAAGTGTTGCAATGCGACATTTTTTTATGATTTTGCTTATAATTTAAAGTTACATTTTAGTCTCATGACCCTCGTCGCTTACTCCTGACAACGTACCCACGATCTCGCAGTCGCTGTTGCCTCGGTGTGACACCCTGGCCGGCTGGATGATGCTGCTGAGGGCAGGGATGCTGTCTAGGAACTGCTGCTGTAGTAACTTGTACTCCGCAGGGTAGCGCCACATGAGGCTGCAGTGAGGGGCGTCAGCGAAGGCGTGGCTGCGCACCTCACGACCCATCTCCCGCCATCGCCGAATCACCTGCAGCAGTGAGGGGGAATGTATGATGATGTAGACAGACCTAGAGACAGAGAGAGAGAGAGAGAGAGAGAGAGAGAGAGAGAGAGAGAGAGAGAGAGAGAGAGAGAGAGAGAGAGAGAGAGAGAGAGAGAGAGAGAGAGGAGAGAGAGAAGAGAGAGAGAGAGGAGAGAGAGAGAATGGGACGGCTAGCGTATAACACTAAATCTGCGTCTAAAAACAGCGATATAATCTCTAACAGCATATCTTCCACAAAAATATAGAGAGTCACTCACTCTCTCGTTTCAAGCCGGTGAGCCGATGCGATCTGTGAGAGAGTACATGACAAGCGACCGACATTTCATGTAGTCGCTGTCCAACATTGCCAACGCTCTGTCGTAGACTCTGAAAATCCACAACGTATCATGTAAAATAATTACGTAATGTAAGATCAGCCTTCGTCATGCAGCAGTCATGGCCGAGGCGAGAGATAACCCAACGTAACCCAACGTAAGGCTCACTAATGCTACAGTTTCGCTCGGTTGTGCACACGCAAAGTAGCTTCATATTACGTTTCATCACGCGTAGACCATGGTAATAACCATAACACGCTCAAAGCCTATGCGAAACTTATAAAAATACGTATATATATTAAACCTAGCATAGGCTGAATGAAGCATAGCATGCCCTTGAAGAATTGGTACCGACAGTGGCGTAGCCAGGATTTTTTAACAAGGGGGGCCAAAAACAGCGAACTGCGCAAAATAGTGGATGAATATTTTAATGGTTCCTCCGCTTCCCTCTCCACACCCTATGCTCCCACGCCGCTCAGCTCTGCAATCTTTCGTTTGGGCGCCATGTAAAAAGGCGACATTTGTGTTCGTTGTTCTCTGGCGGTTTTGCTAAAAATTTTGCAAATGTAGATCGCAGGAGATGGTATTTGAGGCACCCTTGAGTACAGACATTTCTTATTTTTAATTTTTTTTGTTAACTTTCGGATCAACAGGGGGGCCATGGCCTCCTTTGGCCCCCTCTAACTACGCCACTGGGTACCGAGCTTTGATATAGCACACGTGTGCGCACATAGAACGCACAAGCCCCTCCCCCCCCGGGGGGGCAAGACCTATAGATAAACATAGCTATAGATAACATGTTTATCTATAGACCTTGCCCCAGGCGGGGGGGGGGCACTCCTATTGTTAAAGGTACTGGGGACGTGCCGCTAGACAGGGTATATTTTCCGAACATTATTATTGGCACAGGGTTATCTAGATACACACCCATCAAGCTGATATTGGACCAATGTTGGCAAAACAATATTGGGCCAATATCACCAGGCCAATATATTGGACCATTATAGGCAGATATTGGTCCAATATCGGCCCAATATTAGCAAAACAATATTGGGCCAATATCACTAGGCCGATATTGGACCAATATCTGCCTACATTAACAGGACAGGACATAACCGAAATGAGCAATATTGCAACAGGGTATACTTTTGAGTGCAGTATATTGGGACAGGGTGTATTTTAGGGCGAAAAGCGGTTTGCGGCAGGGTCAGGTTTTCAAGGTCCCCCAGGCACCCCTACCAAGTTCCAAGGCGAGTGCCCCCCCCCGGGAGGGGGGGGGGGCACAAGCACGCACGCACTTCCCCCTCCCCTACACACATACCGCCACGTCACCTGGTGGTGTATCTGTAGGTGACCCTCAGATAGAGACCTAGACAGGCGCGCAGCAGACTCTCCAGCGTCTCGTTGTTATTGGCAACCGACTTGACGAAGCCCGGCATGTAATCGCCAGTATAGACGCACGAGTCAAGAACCTCCCCGACAACGCTGTCGATGATCGCACCGTAGCGCCCCCTATCGGCGGCCATCTTATCCAACATCGTACCGTACGAGAACGCGCCGAACGAGAACGCGTGGATGAGCAGCGGCGTCGGCCCGACGGTGGCGCCGCGCTGCGAGAGATAGTCGAGTAGATGTTGAACGGAGTCCTGCGCACGCATCGGCAGGAAAGCCTGATCGAGCGGCGGGCGCACGTTGATGACGTCAAAACCTTGCCGGAGGTAGAAATCTCCGTATTTATCGATCTGACGACGCGACGCCCTCAGCCAGAGGAAGACGCACACCAGGGGGCGCTGTCGGTTGGCGTCGTCGTCATCGTATTGCCGTAGCTCGAGGTTACGGGCGATCACGCGCCTCGTGATGTTGTTCATCTGCGTCGATGGGTTCTGAACATCCGGAACAAACACCTGGAATGATGAAAGCGGCGTTCGATGTTAGCAACGCAGCAGATGATGAATTCAGGTCGTGAGTGTTTATGCGCAACGTAAGACTAGGGGCACGACCATGACAAAATACTGGTCGGCCTTGAGTGTGGTAGAGTCTACAGGTCGTATTGCTTGACACTGCTTTTCAAAGAAATGCGACGTGATTTTACTAACGAAATACTAAACTATACTACTACGAAAGTTGAATTCTTGAAACGATTCATGAATTACAAACAAGATGAAAAGAACGAAATGGGATTAACATTTTTTTTCAAAAAACCGATAAACTCTTATTAAGCCTGTATCATAGTGAATATCAACCGTCCATTAATTCATCTTATACTTTCACCTGTCAGTCTACAGCAGAAACACAAATGCGGGTTTAAAGCATGAGACGAGAAAGTCAAACGGTGATATATATATTATACCG